TAAGTCCTTAGCTTCCTGTAGTTGAGCGGGAGAGATTCCGTCAAGGCCCGGAGATTTTAGGGCTGAAAGCCCATTCCACCCTCTCATCACTTACGACGTCCCTGACGGTATCACCCAGAGACAAATAGGTCCTAGGACCGGGGAGTCCGGGAAGTGAGTGCTCATAGGGACGTCCAGCATTTCGTTACATGATGTCGTCCAGTCACCGTTAGGCTTCTGGATAGAGCTCATATTTCAAGAGGATTTCGAGAGAACTTTCCTCAGCCTGTTGGCTTCGGAGTTCTCTTCTATGTTGTTGCAGAAGTTTTGCCAAGATTCGCGTTACGCCCTCTTTATGGCCTTTTTGAAAACTTTCAGTGCGTCTTTGTGGGGTTGCCGATGACCTGTTCGCTTAGCGTGATTGAAAAGCCTGTTGCTGTTTTTCCTCAGTGCTAAAATCTCAGGATTCCAGCACTGGTGTTTCTTTTTACCCTTCGGGAGAGTGCTTGGGATTTGAGGCTTTGAAAGCAGCATTACAGGCATTTGTCACAAAGTTCACTGCTTCATAAATTTTTGACGATGAGTCCAGCTCACCGAGAGAAACACCCTTTGTATTCGAGAGACTTGCTTCATCAGGTCTCAACGATCAGCAGGACTTATCGTGAGAAGCGTATCTACGTAGAGAGGCCGACAGCGTATTTCTATACTATGCCCAGTCTGTTCGCTTTCTGTTCCTGTATGCTGTTAAAGGAGCAGGATCAAACTGAGATTGAAACTAATGTAGAGGTGGTCAAAAAAAGAGTGTTCTTTGGACACCTGCCAGTCCCTTATCCGATCGAACAAACCGATCACACCGACACAAGGGTAATGTCCAGCACTTCCCTTCTAACAGAGGTCACAAAGGTGCGATCGTTCCCACGGTTACATACAGTAAGATTATATAAAAGAATAAAGTCAAGTAAACACTCACCTCGGGAGTTGGTGTCGCTTGATCCCCAGATCGTGTTATGTGAATTAGAGTCGGCCCCTATTATGACCGGGGTAAAAAATGAGAATATACTTTTTTAATTAGAATGCAAGCTCTGATCCTACCTATTACTGGAGCTGTTACAATCTGGTAGGCATCAGAGTTCAGTCCGCAAAACTTGTTTCTGACGATCCAAGGTTCTTGGACTAGAATCAAATGTTTAAGCCCCGAGGATCCTGGGATGCTGGGCGACGGTGGAGTTGATTGCGGTGGGCGGAAGCTACGCTGTGGTTGTAGCTGCTGGCGGGGAAGTTTCGCTGCGGGTGACGGATCTGCGCCTGATGGAGGCTGGTGGTCGGCGATGGAATGGCGGCGGGTGTAGTTGAAGGTTGAATTTCCGGTGGTATAGCTGTTAGCGGTGGTGGTTGGTGGCGATGGAGTGGTCGCTGCAGGCTTTACTGGTGGAGGGAATTGTGCTCCCAAGAAGATGCGTCTCAAACTTGCGGACACCGGATGCTGATTTTGTTCCGCGCTGAAATCGCAATTACCGCGTCAAGCAGGCTCTTTCCGACCGATAAAAGGTGAAATGAAACACACTCGGTACTTAACTAATGCGAGGGTTTATTCAATTCATAAAGATGCGTAGGTAGATATACAAAAGCGAGACTTGTGGCGGATTAGCTAAAAAATGCGCGCGAATGATTGTGGGTTTTGCAAAAATCTGCCCGAAAAACTTATTACAAACGTCAATTTTTTTCTATCTTCCTACACTGTCATTCCTAGTCTGCCTTATCGATCTTGACATTGCCAGCTGCCTTTTTTAGGTCTGTTTCTGTACAATTCAATTCTAAAATTAAGGGTGTTCGATTACAATTCAATTCAATTACAACTTTTCTGATTACATTTCATTACAATTCAATTCGATTCTACTTTAAACATAAGAAATGCAGCAATAAAATGACAGTGAATTCAAAATACATGATGATAAATAAGTATAAATACATGTAAAATGCAATGTGCCTCGTTGGGCTATACTCGCTTAGCCATCCTGCCCCGCCTAGACGCGCTAAACGGCTAGTACATCCTTCAACTCTTTGAGGGTGTGCATGGCTTCGTGCACCAAGAGCTTAGTGGCCTTGCCCTGATGTGGTGCCTGCGTTGAACGGAGCGTGTGTTCTGCGTTACAGAGCGGCGAGAATGAGGACTATTAATGGTAGCGCGGTGATTGCCTTGAAACTGAATAAATGTGTTCGTTGTACGAGGGACTCCCTTTGGACGCTGTGTTGAGTGCATGGTACGGCGACTAGATGCGTTGGCCTCGCTGCGGTGCAGAAGCGTATGGTGGAACTGTCCACACGTTGGGCAGTTCCCATTGGAGGAACAGTCAACGGTCCGGTGTGAGAGCGCGAGGCAATTCGTGCAACATCGGTGCCCGCGCGCGAAGGTAAACCTCTGATGGGTCTGTAGGGCCCGGAAAACGCTGCATACTCGGAGAGCGTGGTGGCACGTATATAGACGGCATTGCAGGAAGTTAGATACGGGCGTGTCGTCCAGGGAAAGTTGTTCCGCGGCGGTCTCTGTGGCGCGTACAGGTTCACTTACAGGCGGGAGCGCCCTTGCCGTCAACGATGAGCGTGATGCGGGCTGAGGGATATCAATCTCCATCTGCAAATAGGGGTTTTTCGAGTAGGTTAATAGTGGGGTGTTAAACACTTGTTAATAAGACAGAGGGATAAGCATATACGTGTATTGCCTGTCAAGTAACTGTTATAAAAAAAAGGGCATAGCTTTAGAATCGACCGAGTGAGTATGCCGGCTTTGGTGCGTACGTCAACTACGCGAATATGTCCATCTGGACCGGGATAGGTTGTTTCGATGCGTCCAAGACGCCACTCAGTGGGCGGCAACGTATCATCTATAATGAGGACGCATTCTCCAGCTTTCGGTGAAACTTTAGTGTCTTTCCACCTATAACGTTTCTCAAAGTCTTTGAGATAATCTTCTCTCCAACGGCGGCTGAATTGATGGTGTATAACTTTAACTATTTCCCACCTATTGAGGAGAGATAAATTGCTATGATCTACTTCCGGAAGAGACAAGAGGGCAGTTCCCCTTAGGAAATGGCCAGGGGTGAGGGCCGTGAACTCTGTTGGATCTTGGGAGAGAGCGGAGATGGGACGGGAATTTAATACCGCTTCGATCCTAACTAAAAGAGTGGTGAATTCTTCAAACCTGAATTTATGTGCTCCATTCGTTCGTTTGAGATGTAACTTGAAGCGTTTGACGGCGGATTCCCATAATAAATCTCCAATCAATGCCTTGGGGAGAGTATTGTTTGACGATGTTTTGAGTTACTTCTTGCAGGAATCTATAGAATTCCTTCTCTGTTGCTCTTTTGGCTCCAATTAAAGTAGTGCCATTGTAGCTCATCATTCTTGCTGGATAGCCTCGACGCCTAACAAAACGGTCAAACGCGGCGAGAAATGCGTTTGTTGTTAAATCAGAGCACAGCTCAAGGTGAACCGCCTTTGTTGTGAAACACACAAGTACGGCCACATAGCCTTTCGCAATGGTGGAGGACCTTAGCATAGAGGCTTTTACTTGAAAAGACCCAGCAAAATCTACACCGGGTGTGGTGAAAGGCGGAGCGTAAGTGCAACGCTCTGGTGGCAACCCCGCCATGATTTGAGAGCACATTGAAAAATGCACCTTTTTAAAAGAGGCTTGAGTCGGGGAATGTAGAATTCCTGCCTTATCATTTGCTGCATGAGCCGAATTTCTGCGTGTAAGAGGAGCCCGTGGAGAAAACGAAGATAGAGAGCAGCAAATCGAGATCTTTCAGGTATAATGAGGGGATGACGCTCATTATAGCTAAGAGTGGAGTGGGCCAAACTACCATTGACCCGGAGCTACCCACATTTGTCTAGAAAGGGGTTGAGAACTATTAATGGGCCTTTCTTAGCGATTGGCACTGGCTGCGATAAGCATGAAATTTCGCGGGAGAAGTAACGGTTTTGTGTTAAGGCAATGAGACGACGTTTGGTAGAGCGGAAATCATTGTGCGATAGGGACAATGGGAGAGGACCCTGTGCGGATTGATTTCGGCTCTTTAAGCGATCTAAAAACTTGAAGACATATGTCATAACTTTAAGCATGCGGGAAAGGACGAGAAGCGATCTAAAATGTCGGTATCATCTTCGGCAGCGTGAAAGGTGTCGGGTGGTTGGGTTAGCCATTCGGGCCCATGCCATCACAGAGAAGAGGAGGCTAAGTCGAGGGGTTTGCATCCTCTTGTTCTCATGTCCGCGGGATTTTCGCTGCTGCGTACATGCCTCCAAGTCGAATTTCCTACCAAATCAATGATTTTCGCTGTGCGCTTCGAGACGTAGGTTTTCCAGGCGTGGGGCGGTTTTTCCAGCCAGGCCAGGACGATTTCCGTATCTGACCACATGGTAAGTTTTCGATCCGAGAAACCAAGTTGCGATTGGATAGCTGAGACCAATTTAGCTAGAAGGAGAGCACCACATAATTCGAGGCGAGGTAGGCTGATGGTTCTGAGAGGCGCAACTTTGCCTTTGGACACTAGCAGGTGAGAAGAGACTCTTTCACCTTGTGTGGTTCGGACATATAGGGTTGCGCAATAAGCTTTTTCTGAAGTGTCGCAGAATCCATGTAGCTCCACTTGCTGGCCGGGAACATAATTGACCCATCGGGGTATTTGGATGGCCGAGATGGATTCTAAATTGTTCGCAAACTGCAACTATTTATGGAGACGGAAGGGTTTGACTTGCTCATCCCAGTCAGTTCCATCGAGCCATAGCTCTTGTAAGAGGACTTTGGCTTGAATCATTATTGGCGAGAGCCATCCTGCGGGGTCGAAAAGTTTTGCGACCGAAGAGAGAATTTGTCTCTTGGTGCTCGCTGACGAGGCTGAGATGGATTCAATGGTGTAAGAGAAGGAGTCAGTAATGGCATTCCATTGAATCCCGAGGGTTTTAGTGGTACTTGCTTTTTCGAATTCGAGAAAGTTGCTATCAAGCAAGTCCTCCTTTTATATGTCTTTGAGCAAATCAGGATGGTTCGCCGTGATCTTTTTTAAGGGAAAGCCAGCGGAGTTTAGAGCTTGAATGACTTGGGAGAGAGATTTAGTTGCTGAGATGAGGTCATGACCTCCTGAAAGTATGTCGTTTCGGTTTTTAGTATTGGCACCGCCAAGGGATATGTTATTTTTACATCATCGGAGAGTTGGTGAAGAGTGCGTATTGCAAGAAATGGTGCGCAATTTACACCGAATTTCACGGTTCTTAACCTGTAGTCTCGAATGGGGCTGCTTGGAGATGATCTAAATAACGGGTGATTTTTTTGAGGTTAGGATTTTCATGCATTAGTATTTGACAGATCACGTGGGATTTCAGACATGGTGTCAAAGAGAAAGATGNTACAATTCTCTGGTAATTCTGGTGGTCTTTATGTAAAAGTATCTGACGATACATTTTTTCTACATCGCCATTGAACACAAACTGATACGTGTGCCCTTTGAGGATTAATAGCATCAGATCGGGTTGAAGTGTTGGTCCGGTTGGGGAAAACATCATTAAGAGAGAGTCCGGGACTTGATCTCCGTGATGCATTAAATACGACACGTACCTTGGTGGTTCTTTTCTCGGGTTTGACAACCGCGTGGTGGGGAGATAGAAGGAATAATATTTTCCTTCTGAGGATTTTTCGTAGGAAGTTGTTTCTTCCATATGATTTAGGGTGCGATATTCCCCTAAGACATTATCATACAGGGGTTTTAGGTCGCCTTTTTTTTGAAGACTTCTCCCCATACCGAAAAATTGCTGGAGAGCTGTGGTGCGAGATTGACCTAGGGTGATTTCATTTGGGAAGCTTTGCTTGAATGGGAGCCGGACTATGTAGGGACCTTCAGGTGTACGCGATGTAGTTGACAGGTATAACTCTTCACATAGCTTATCTTCAGGATTCGTCAGATTGGGGGTCGGAACTTCCTCTACCTCCCAGAACTTTCGCAGTTGAGATTCCAGAAGTTGATTTGAGTTTTGTTCCACTTGAGTGGAGAAAGACACCACTTTATTAGGCATTTGACCGCTCAAAATCCAGCCAAAAATCGTCTTTTGTGCTAACAGATTTTTTGAGATATGCTCAATACCTTCAAGCATGATTTGTGGGGTGAGATCGCTGCCTATCACTAGGTCGATTTGAGATGGGGAGTGACAAATGGGGTCTGCCAGCTGAATGGGAGACCACTCCCCGCGTTGTTCGCGAGTTGGCTGGAATCTTGGGAGTATTTTGGTCAATTGAGGTAGCACAATTGCTTGAGCGGTGACTTTCGTAGTGAAGTCGGAGGATACTAAGACCAGAGAGCAGATTCTGTTCGAGGTCTGAACTACTGTCCCACCCATGCCGGAGATCTCAAAGTTCGAGCTTTGACATGGTAGTCTCAGTTTGTTTTGGGCCGTAGAAGAAATGAAGCTCCGTTCTGAGCCCTGATCGATGAGAGCTCGGAGTTTAAAGAGTTCTCCTTTCTGTTCTACTGAGACTATGGCTGTAGTGAGAAGGACTTTGCTCTCATTTTCAGAGTAGTACGATTGTACTCTGGTTCCATTAGAACTTGATGGTAAATTATCTTGTTCTTCCGTTTCTTGTGGGACTTACAGGTTGGGGTTCGGGGAATCAGTCATCGCTACCTGCGATGTAGTCCTTTGTTCTCGAGAGTCTTGCCTTTTTGGCGGAGGGGCTGTGCTATAGTTAAGCACTGAGTTGCGTTTTTCTCGACAATTGGAGCAGGTTTGAGTACTTGGACAATCTTTCAGATAATGTGACTGAGAGAGGCAGTTAAATCACATGTTGTTTTCTCTTACAAATTTTCTACGATCTTGAACCGACAACTTACGGAATCTCTGGCAGTTCCACAATGAGTGCGAGGAATCTCTACACTTGGGGCATTTATGCATCGTACGCTGTTCTGTCACATGCGATTGGATCTGTGAAGATGATTTATTATGGGACTGTTGAAAGTGTGAGGTTTTGAAAGGGGGCCTGTTGTGGGTTTGAGGGGTTCTAAATAACCTGGAGTTTTGGAGATTGGGTCTTGATTTGGCTGGGCGCCATTGATCAACTCTTTCGACCACCTCATATCGAGTGATTAGGAACTGGTTCATTTGGGACCAGTTCGGGAGGTCTTTCTTAGAGCTGAGAGATTGCTCCCACAGGGCCACTATGTTCTCAGGAAGTTTTGAGGTAACGAGGTAAATTATTTTGGGGTCCCAGCTCTCTGTGGAGACTTGTTGGGTGGCGAGAATTTGGAGACACTTATTCACTGATGATTGGAGTTTTTGAATATCTTCACTGTTCTCCACTTGAATAGCCTTTAAATTCATGAGAATACGTATTTGGTTGTCAACTAATACTCTTTTATTCTCATAGCGAGACCGTAAAGCTTCCCATGCCAGATCAAAATTGTCATCGCTCAGTGGGAATTGTTGCACTATTTGGCTGGCTTTGCCTTGAGTTTTGTACCGGAGATGGTACAATTTCTGGGCTTATGTGAGTTTTGGGTGGTTAATGTATACCGCCGTGAACACGTCACGAAAAGACGGCCATTGCTCATAACCCCACAAAATGTTTCCGTATCGCACGGCGGGACCTTTAAGCCGAAACTAGAGTTTTCTTGGGTTTGAGAAATACTGGCTTGCTATTGCTTGCTTGATTGAGAAGCAGCAGTTGATCACCAATCTGGGCTTTCGTATCTTCATACCTGTCTCAGTCTCTACTACTAAATCATATGCGCTCTGGACTCGATTCAAAAAATTATCAATGTTTTTGTCTTTAATTCTTAGTGCAGACTCAGTATTGTCTTGGATTTGCGTTGTACTGAATCGGATACAGTAATCCATTAAATTGTGTATCTCAAAGATGAGTTTTTAGGTCCTACGACTGACTGTTTGGGTTTCTTATTAGACCTTCCGCCTGAGCGCGTACCGCGCTGAGTTTCGGTGGAAATTCCTTGTTGCTTCTCATCACCACTCATTTTCGGGCTTTTTGCTTTATCGCTGCTATTGGGGAGGGGTAGCATTAAGTGAGAACTTTATTCGTATAATCTTCAGTTTCAGTAAACTACAGATTCGATTGTGATTATCGACTTTACTAATAGGTTGTTGGACCGAGAGAGAGGGGGGTACAGAGAGTTTGAGAGATGAGTGTAGCCTTCCGCGAATGGAAATGTCAGAAGTTTCGGAAAGATTTTGCCCTTTGGGTTAAATATTTCGATCGGCCGTCCGATATCCGCACCCTTCAACGTGAGAAGCCAATAATGCTTCGCGTTTTTAAAAAAATTGCGCTACTTCAATAATCGATTTTCACCGCCCCGCACTGCACTGTGTACATATATGTATATGCAATATTATTTATTTATGGGAGGGCTTATTTTGCACCACTGTATTTATGTATATATGTATGTGTGGGATAAATTTTCAAGTAAATGGCAGCTGAAATTCGTAGCTTATATGAGCTTATTTACTTTTAATTTTGAGGGAATTTGATTTTAATATATAGGAGGAATATGGGGAAATCACTGTATTTTATACATATACATATACACATATACATTTGTATGGTGCGTGCCAACGATGTGGAGGATTATTTATTTAAATTAGCAGTGGACTGTATGTACGAGGTTCTGCTTTGACATACCTATGTACTCTAATGTAATGTAAGAATAATTATGTGTGTACCGCACTAATGGTCTGTATGTAAATATGTACATATACAATTGTGAAAGAGTGTATGTGTGCATAGCTTCTAGTACTTGAGATTCGGTTAGTATGTATACTAATAGTGTTCTCAAAGGGAAACTTGCCAAGTAATTATTTAATTGTATTTTATATTGATATTTGGGTGGTTCACAAGGTGTCGTACTTGTCGTATTGTTGTATGTTGTAAAGTTTTTAACGGCTAAATAAATGTTTAGAGGATTTCAAATCACCACCAACAATTTTTTAATTGTGTGAAATTCCATAATACAACTTTTATGTTAGCTTGCGAATTCCTTAAACATACAACAGTACGACAGTATACAACACCTTGTGAACCCCCTAATTGTAACTTTGTACCGGTAATTGAGTCTTCTGCGTGAAGCAGATTCACATTTATTTCTGTGGGACTGGATTTTATCTCAATTTTCCGAGCGGGAGTTCGCATAAATATGCACTGCGTGTACATATCTACGTACATATACACAGTAGTTAGTTATTCTTTTACTTTTGCGAAGCAGAAGGAAAGAATAAGTAACCACGAGTGCTGTGTATGTATGTATGTTTTATATAGGTATTATATAGTGGCTAATCGCGAACCGTTTACTTTTTTGCGGGAAATTAATATACATGATTGTATTGAAATTTTCTTTCTGTAACGGGATGAGAGCACCGTTTTGTTAAAATTTTCTTTGAAATATCGAAAAATGATTTTTATGCGATTTTCTAGCTTTTACTTGTAGAAGTCTTTAATGTGTGAAATGGGTTAGTAAGCAATTCAGCAATTCTTACTTACGGTTTAATTGGGATACTTTTTTTTTGTGTGGTCCCACGGTGCTGGCTCTTAATGGGCGAAGAAGGACCAGTGTTTAAGCCCCGGGGATCCTGGGATGCTGGGCGACGGTGGAGTTGATTGCGGTGGGCGGCAGCTACGCTGTGGTCAAACTTGCGGACACCGGATGCTGATTTTGTTCCGCGCTGAAATCGCTAATAGCGCGTCAAGCAGGCTCTTTCCGACCGATGAAAGGTGAAATGAAACACACTCGGTACTTAACTAATGCGAGGGTTTATTCAATTTATAAAGATGCGTAGGTAGATATACAAAAGCGAGGCTTGTGGCGGATTAGCTAAAAAATGCGCGCGAACGATTGTGGGTTTTGCAAAAATCTGCCCGAAAAACTTTTTACAAACGTCAATTTTTTTCTATCTTCCTACACTGTCATTCTTAGTCTGTCTTATCGATCTTGACATTGCCAGCTGCCTTTCTTAGGTCTGTTTCTGTAAAATTCAATTCAATTCTAAAATTAAGGGTGTTCGATTATAATTCAATTCAATTACAACTTTTCTGATTACATTTCATTACAATTCAATATGATTTTACTTTAAACATGAGAAATGCGGCAATACAATGACAGTGAATTCAAATACATGATGATAAATAAGTATAAATACATGTAAAATGCAATGTGACTCGTTGGGCTATACTCGTTTAGCCACAAGTCCTCAGCTTTATCCCTGAGGCGAAGAAGGAGAGCAGCCGAGGCTGCCTTGGAGTGGTGCAGATTAATTTGTAAGATCTGCACCATCCTCAGAATCGGCTATGTGCATTGCTTCTAGCGCCCTCCGCTCGGCGGCGGCAATGACTGTGATGTCATTGTGATCCTTCTCCAGTTCGGTTCCCAGACACCGACTGTAGACCGACCTTACGTAGGCAGATACTGAGCCCGTGCCGCTCTCAGTATCCGTCGCGGTATCGGATACACTCGTTGGTGGGTCCACAGGTCCACTCATGGTGTTTCCTGTGTACCCCGCACTGCCTGCCACCGATGTCGACTCTGGAGCCGCAGGTCCGCTCGAGGCGTTGCCTGTTTTGTTGGCCCCTAACTCGGGAAGGATGTCTGAAGAAGCGGGTCCGCTCGAAACCCGTCTCCTCCCCTTGCTTATCCGCTCTCTGGTGGGTTTTTACTGTGATGACAAAGCCATCAAAACACTGATTCCCCTTGATCTCGCCAACTCGGACTATCCTCCAATCGCTGGTGGGCAGTCCTTCCTTGCCCAGTCGGATAAACTCGAGTATCTCCTCCGGTTTTGACGGCTCAGTTGGGACTCAGGCGCGCGGCCTGTAAGCGGCAAGTCTGCCCCGGGCCAAAGCTGTCCAACCGTGGAGATAGCTTCCTTATAGAGCCGGACCGCGCGCTCATCGACGCACGCTACAAGTTTAACTCGCCCTTGATGCCATCCGCCAACCCGGACGATTGGTGCAGGGCCGGGGTACTTCTGAAGTATCCCTTTATATACCCTGCATAAACCCATCAGGACGGACTTCCAATTGTCCGTGATACTGTGGCAGCCCGGATGACCCTTGTCTAACACCTCCAGCATAAGGTGCTCTTTGGCGGCTTCACTGAACGGCTTCGTGTTGGGTACGGCCATGGATAGACGGTTAGAGGGGGAGGAAGCCCTATGCCTCTTGGAACCAGTCGAGGTGTCGTCCTGAGATCGCTCTCTTGGAGGGAAGGTCCTTCCTTAGGTCTTCCCGAGCTGGTGGTTTGTCCTTCCCGCCTTTGCCGGAGGATCGCTTGTCGCTGGCGGCGAAGAATCCCATGGCCCACTTGAGAGAGGCTTTTTGCTCCTCTGTCAGTTGGCCATGAGGGATGACCCCCAGTCTTTGAATGACCTTAGGGGCTGTCCTTCGGTCACCCTGGGCCCTGACGGAAGGCGAAATTCTGTTTGCTGCAATGGAGCAGCCGGGCGCAGATCGAGATCATTTGCCCCGGTCGTCGAGGATTTACTCGCGGGAGTGGTCCTCTGCAAGTGGAGGACTTGTGCTCAACCACTTCACCTTGCGATTTCAGTGTACCCTGGATGGACATGGGGGAGGGGGCCTTATGCAGCTTTTCCGCCGGCTTCGATCTTCCTTCATGGGCTATAGAGTCACCGGCATCCCTGGAGGCTTGCTTTCCCTCTGAGGGTTTAGCAATCCTTCCAGCTTCTGCGGAAGCCCGAAGCTGCTAATATATATATAATTCCGAGATATTTGATTTAGCATATTTAATAGCATATTTTGCTGATTTATCGAGCTTTTTATAGCGCATAATTTCAGGTTTTTCTGGCATATTTTTGCTAACCCTGGTTATCATTGACATCATAAAACTGTATCTATTTCATGATATCCACCAAAATATTTCATCTCAACTTGCGGTTAATCGTGAGATAGACTGCGTTGAAAATGTATTTAAAAACGTCTTTTTTTACAGAAAAAATTAAATTGCAAAGTTTCCGTCCAGAAATGGCCTCACATAATAGAAATAGTTGTTTATTTTTAATATTGTTATTGAGCTTTTTACCACGATTAGGCTTTGTTAAGTTTTTCATTTTTCCTAATAAAGATAAACGTGGTACAAATCTCAACAACAATAGGCGTGTTTTTTGTACACGCATACGTATATGCACTTAAAACTTGTATAGAGCTAAGCGTAAGCGTAAGTTTTTTTTATTACACGGTGAGCGTTGATGTATATGAGCCATTCTTTTTTAAGTCTCCGATTCGCTTTAAATTTTTTTTGTGGGTTTTATACATGACGTAAGCTAACACGTGTTCGAGGAATTTTTTCCTTTTTTTCTTCGGAGATATGATCTGTCAAACTTTGCATTTTGTCGTGATTTTGACTAATCATGTAGTTCTTGAAATCGTTATATGTCGGGTTCTGCTG